TGATTCTAACAGTAAACAAAAGGAAGGAAAGGAAGAAGAAGTAGAAGAATGTGTTAGAAAATAATAAATAAATTATTCTAAACGAAACAAGAAAGATTAATTTCTGTTTCAAAAGAAAATTTCAAAAAGTGAAAGAATTTTAAGAATTCTAATAGTTACTAAAGAAGAAAAATATAGAAACAAAAGATTGAAAGATTATCATTCAAAAAAGAAAGGGGGCAAGAAGAAGATGAAGAAGAAGAAAAGAAAAAGGGGAAAAATAAAAAAAAGCGAAACAGTTAAATATAAAATAAAATTAATAACTTAACCCATAAATCATTGAAACAATAAGATTTGTTTCTTTAATGATAATTAAACGATCTAATTATCCAAACACGGAGATAATAATCTTCCGATAAATTATAAAATGTTAAACGATGAGATAAAAATTAATAATATTAATCTAATAAAGTTTAACACTTTTACAGACGTTAATAATTGTTTTTATTAAGTAGACTTTTTACGAAAGGGAATTATTAGCGAAAAATTAAATAGTTTGTTTATCGTTTTAATTTAATTGTTAGAGAAAATAACCGTGACGCCGACTAATGATTGCTTATGTTAATAAAATTATGTTTCTTTTGCTCGAATTAATTCTTTAGGAAAATTCTGTACACTTTTTTTTTCCTTTTTAGCATGTCGATTACGAATTTCTTACGCTCGTTCGTACGCTCTCTTAGGCAGAAATTGCTATATTTTGCTTTAAAAATTTCTCTTGTATAATTATTTATTGAAATGTCGTTTCCTATTCAATAACACTGATTTTTTTAAAAATAAAATTTATATTTTAAACATGAATTATTGATTAAAACAAGGATTTCATGTATTTAAAGCTAGGTACAATTGTACAGGTATACCCGAAAGAAGTGCGAATGACATAACTAAGTGTTTTCATACCCGTATACCCTGTTCAGAATTTGAATTTAAGAATAAAATAATAATTTCAACTCTTACGTATGAGCTCCTAACAGGCTCATACCAAAAANATTTTTTACCTCACCTATATATCCATATACATATATATATTTATTTATTTAACGCACTTTCGACTTTGAGCTTTGTAGAATATTGTCACGACCCTGATGAGACCACTAAAGGTATAATTCTATGGAGCTTTGCATACAAAATTAACAACATAATTAAAATGATAATATTATATTAAGTTTTACAATTTGTTTTGTCACTTATTGACTATCGGTTATTAATTAGTCACAGTCAAACATCATAACAATGCTGCTTTGCATCCTGCAGTAGGCTAAAATAGCAATCTTGCCAGCCTAATATACAGTATGAGCCAATGGGAAGGTCAGGCTTAGCCTAACTTAGTCCATAATGCAGAGATACATATCTAGGACACTACTGGCTACTGGTGTGCATGAGCTGGTCAAGTAAGTATCCCTTCTACGCCACTGCTTTCTCCGTCTGATTATCTATTAATTTTTTTAATATTTTTTTTTTTAGATCGGTATACATACACGCACACACACATATATATACTGTATATATACCGTATATATATTTATTTATTATTTATATATATATTTATATATAATGCTGGTAAAGATCAAAGGTTATGAGGTTGTAGTGGATGTGCTGGATGGGGTAGTCGAATTACCATTGTTGACAGATTTCGATTTTTCTTCGTCCTGCCATTTGTCTTGGGATCTTCTACGAGCATTCATGAAGAAGTTACCAACTGTGCTTAGCTCTAAACCTAATTGCTGAGATATTGTAATTTGCATTTCTTTAGAAGGTCTCTTTGTCTCTTTAAAAATGGCTTGTAGGGTGCGTCGCTGTAGATCGGTAAAAACAAGACGAGGTTTCTTCGGCGTATTGGGGTTCTTTTGGTGTTGTTGCTGTTCCTCTTTCCGTTTGCAAGCTGTAACAAGAAAAAAAAAAGAACATTTGCTTATTAATTGCTTTCGAAATGGTATCTTACAGGCACTTAGGAGAAAAGATAAAAAATCGATGTCACCTGTTAATAAAAATCATGGATATCGATTAAATATTGATCGTCAGATAGGTTCCACTTAAACTTTTATCTCTTTTCGTGTTTTTTCCGTTTCGTTTTTGCATTATTTTTCTCATTATAATGAAAATAATGTAAAGAAACGTTCTTAAAACTCCACTTCTGATAAATTTAAAAATTAACTTCTACGAGAATACTGAAAATTTGACATAATTTAAGTATGAGTATAATAAAGTTTTAGAAATGGAAGACAGAATCGAAAATTTTAAAACGAATTTGCATCGATAGATGTGAATTAAGTACTCGAGAGAAGAAAAGGTACAGAGCGAGAGGGGTAAGTGAACAGAATGAGAACCTTCGCACCTGACACTCTATCGTGACAAGCAGCAAGGCAGCTGCTTCCACGTCTAGCTATGATGGATTTTCTCAACTAGATGTTTCTCGTGTGCCGTCTAACCATACAGCCAATCATTTTCAGAACTGGAACCATACATGACACAACAAGACTCATTCTATAACAAAATCTCGAATTTCTATCATTCATTTTTGTTTATAACTGATTAAAATATCTTAAATTTCAAAACGTAATCGAATAACGTATTAAAATTGTATTAAATAAAATAGGAAAAAAAAAATGATGTTTTCGCCTTTTCGTAATAGAAATGATTTCGAGCTTCTGCCGTTTGTTTTAAAACAGACTTGTCTATCACTTGTTTTTCTCAGAAAATGATAATTTAATCGAAATTTTTACAGGGAAGAATCAAGCTGGTTTTTAAAGTACGCTTTTGAAGGAAAGAAAAAAAGGCATTTGCTAATAAAATGATTAACATTTTCCAAGAAACGATAACTGTCTTTTTAAGTGATTATAGAATAAAAGAATTTGATGATTTTTATTCTATGAAAAAGCTACTTGAAACGTAACGTTTAATAAGTTAAAGGAAATACAACTGCGTATATTATTATACAGGCAGGTGATATTGTATATATTAATAAAGATATAAATAATTTCCATCGAATTTTAGTCTACTTCTTTTTTTTAAAAGGAACAGAATGAACTTCGTTTTTTTCTTTGACTAAGTTATCCAGCAATTAGTAATTTTTTCCCAAGCATGAAAATGAGATTTATTTCCTTGTAAGCTCGTATGTAACGGTTAACTTGATATAGCTCTTTATACGACTACTCGACTATTCAAATTTTGAGAGAGAGGGGGGGGATAAAAAATTCTTTGCAGATGGAAAAGCATGTTGGTTCCTCATTCTTCGGACAGATGCCCGCTATACAAGCCTTACATGATTTATTTCAACACCGATTCTATTGGCATACCGATGATAGATCTCAGTCGTCCAACGATTTTTTCGCTTTTATTCTTCTCTACATTTCGTTCTAGTAGGGGACATAACCTACAATCCACTAACTCCGACAACAAAAATTTTCTTTTTTTTTCTTCTTTGCAAAACATCTCGCAAATCCAATAACCGAACGACATTCGTCAAAATATAATAATAATTGCAGACTCTAAGATAATTAAAAATGCTCAGGTATACAAAAATTTTGATGTTCGTCTGTGTTTTTATTTTGCACCCACTCTTAATGGTTTACCTCCTTTATTTCCCATTTCGCGTATAGATATTAAAGTAAATGAGTTTAAAAATCCTCCGGCTCCTCCCACACAACACTCCAGATGCATTATTTTCTCTATAATCACTCACACACAGTATATACCTATCATAAATTATCGGATCTCAAAGTTTGTGTAAAGAACATTAATTACTCGTGAAAAGTTTTCGAGCTAATGCAGAAATTATCGGATTCGACGTGTGGTTACCATTAGTTGATGTCTGCAACATTACATATCACCCTCCTTCGACTTTGCATTTTTTTTCTTTCTTTATTTAAAACAAATTTCCTGTATTTATTAATTGAAAATAATCACGCAGTCTTACTTATCTTAAATAAAATTAAACACTATTTTTAGAAAACTTTCTCCCTGATAAAATTTTACAACAAACAATAACAATTTCCATGTCTTTTCTTTATTAATTACAAACTCGATGCTTTAAATCGCTTTGTGTTAACTTAAAACTTTTAAATATATCAAACGATTTTAGTAATTTAAAAGATGAGGGTCACGTATACATGCAATTTACTTTAAATTTGTTTAGAATTACATATAATTTAAACGTAAATCGAGAATTTTTTAAAGGTGACGTATTACCCTTCATTTTTCCTTCTGTTTAATGTCAATCGAGATCTCTCTCTCTCTCTCTCTCTCAGTTGTATTTTTGTTTGTTTAATACATCTGTAAGGCAAGTGAGACTTTTGCGAAGAGTAATACGATAAGAACAATGGTACGGTAATGTCTTGGCATACAGTAAAGCAACATTAAATCAAAGTGTGAAAGATCGACCATTAGTTCAATTAACCTAAATGCATTGCTAATACCAAAAATCGCGAAAGTTTTTATCAGGCGCCAAGTTATCGCAGTTTTCTTTCTCTTTCTAATTCGATATTACACGAAACGTCGTCTTTTCAATAGCGACAACTCATACGTCATTTCCTTCTCTAATACGAATTTATTAACGTTCCAGTCATTGTTAACAATTACAGTCGTTTTCTTATGCCTTTAGAAATACTTTTATTCTAGATCTTCCGCTTTGGATAAGTCGGAAAAACCGTCATTTGAAACGGTTTGTTCTAGCTGTCTGACATTGCCATTCGAGTTAAAAGCAAATCTGAGATTTGAACATTTCCATCCAATCCAATATAATCATTCCGAGAGAAGGAAACAAAAGTCTTAATCAGGAGCAAAGAACGACTTAAGGTGTAACGGTGCCAGAATAGCAATTTGCAAATTGCAATAAAAGGAGTCGGCAAAGAGTCACAGAAAAAAAAAAGGGAGGAGGAAAAAACGAGGAAAGGGGGGAGTAAAAAAGAAAAAAAAAAAAGAACAGATAAAGAGCCGGTTGAATGAATGACAATGACGAATCATCTCCTATTGGTTTCTACACTTGACAATTAACCTTCTTTACTGAAAATGGTGATTTTGATGAAACCAGGTGATACATTTAACAACGCTAAACTGGACAACGTCCGTTTTCTAAGATTATATTCCTGCTTTATTTGTGAGCAGCAAGACAATAGACAAACGGATAACAAAAGACGCAATCTGTGGAATAATGACATTCGCGCTTAGCTGGACGCATTATAATTCTTCAACCGATAGAAACTGTTTGGGTGAAAAAAAAAGGAAACAATAGAAGTCGTTTCGCCGGTCTCACAATGGTTATTAAGCCAAGAAAAACACAACAAACAGAAATAAGTTTACATTAACCATACCAACTTCCATAACGAAGAAGAAATTTTAAACTTTGTTTTCATCATTAAAACAAAAATTCTAGATTTTTTTTTCTCTACCCCGCCATGTTTTTTTTTTCTTTGAGATTTAGAAGTTAACTAATTAGGATACATATCTAACAGTTTTTTGACCGTAAAATACGTTTTAAAATCTAAACAAATTAGCAATTGTTTATATTGAGATGCGACCGTTTTTATATCAGCAAATTTATGAAATCAAAATGATGATGATGATGATGATGATGATTCGGACAATTCTTTTGCCTGAAAAATCCATCTTGTTGGCAACTATACTATTCAGATTATCCACCGAATGGAGCAAGAACATCACGATTCTCAACTGAGAGAGACAAGAGAGCGATAATTACTGCTGTCCAGTTATGACGGACTTGACTACATTAATGAAGTTAATATGTGTATTCTGTCTTGACTCTGGATGGAACGAAATCAAATTACTAATTAGCCAAGTATTCTCATGCGTATGGGAAAATATGATTTTGTCTATTGGCTGGCGGCAATATTATCAAATTACAAAGATTTTGAAACGCCTTGCAACACCTAAACCTATCAAGAACTGCGGCAGACATATTTAGCTCCGCAAGAGTTGATTGCTTCTTGTCAATGAGTGTTTACACCTAGTAAACGTTATCAATACTCATTAACCTTAATTGGGTTATGTATATTAGAAACCGAGCTCTTTAGCCGTGTTTGTAAACTAGATTGGAATTAAAATGCAGATTAAAAAAAACAAAAGAAGAAAAAAAACATGTAGTAAATCCGTGTATAGTTGTAGCTCTTATTTCTTTGTATATTCTTTAAATAGAGTTAACATATTATAAATGAAGTGTTTACAAATATATCAGTGTAGGGCCTATATGTTGTTGTTGCAAAAAAGATATATTCTGGTGTTGATAGGTGGGAATATGTCGTGTTCTATCCTAGTTATGGGGCTTCAATTTTCAATACGTCGTCCGTCAGTTTGTCTGTACGTTGATCCTCGTAGATACGTGAAAATCGAGACCACAAATGGAAAGCGTATGGGTGGAGGCCCCGATTAACTAGAATACACGTGAGTTTTTAAATTAAGAAATGGTTAAAAATTGAAGCAAGGCATAGCGACGACATCACAATAAATAAAGCAACGTTTCCTACAATTTATTTTACAATAATTAAATTAACATTTTATTTAATACATATTTTTCTAGAATTAAATTACTTAAAGTGGTATGTCTAATATAGCATCCTCTGGATGTACAATTTATATTATTTCGGAAACATTAAAGATTTAATAAAGCATGATTTAAAACATATTAAAATATTTACCAAAATTATAGTCGGAATTTTTTTATTTTTATATATTTAAGAATTTCATTACTAACAGTAATAGAGTAATTCTTGTAATAACAATTTCCCAAAAGGAAACTCATAAAATTTATCCTTCTTCTAACATGTAACTTCATTTAATTAAAGGTTTTCTAAACGAAAATGGCTAGTTTCTGTTAGATTTTTCTCCCGTTCTTGTAAGTGCTGGATTTGTTGGATTAGTGAAAATGTG